CAGAGAATGTCGCGTTGCAGTCTCTGTTCGGCTGGTTGTCATAATCATTCGACAGTTTGGCTGTTCTCTGCTGTAGCAACGAGGTTCATGCTGTACCTTTGATTGCGTGAAGATGGGTAGAGCTATGATTATGGGCCAACGTGGCCAGTTTATCTTCCATTCTGCCCATCTCGGCTTCACATCCCGGCTTTTATTTGATAGTCTGGCCAGCATTTTCATATCTCGTTTCTACTTAATCTTGTATATCTTACCTTCACATGGCAAATATAGTCCACCGGTTGCAAGCACCGGCAACGGTACCAGTATCTGGATCAGGGGAAGCAGTAGTAACACGAGAAAGAGTCCACATTTGTGCCATGCCATTCGTAAACCGGAAATTCTCGTCGGTCCAGCAAAGAAATCACAACAGACAAGAGTTGTGATACCGAATCTGTCAATGCACCTGCTCTTCTGTTTACTCATCACTTCATCCGAGCCAGCGTGGCATCATCGTCCGTGTTTCCCCGATAGCCACTCTCCTCGCCGCCCATCTCTCAGACTCACTCAGTCCTGCTGCCTCATTGTTTATGTGACTCGCTCTCTCGGCGAATCTCTCGGCCTCTCTGTCGCTCGAGATGCACACAAATTGCCCCGCCTCGACGCTCTCAACGTCTACAAGTGTCGGCTCTATGGGCGTCTATCTATGCATCCGTGTAGAGCTCGAGCTAGCCGCATTCGCCCAGTTCAGTTGGTATCATCTTCAGTCGGCCAGCTCAACCGAACGGCCTGAAATTAGTTGACCCCACGGTTGTTGGCAATGCCGACGCTGCAAACAGTTCGCCCTCGCCGTTGACTGCATGTCCGGAAGAGTCTTTATTTGGCGAAGAAGCTGACCACAGTCAACTTTGCCGACCTCCTCCTGCGTTGGATGTACAAACAGCCAGCCGGGCATGTGCACACAAACATCGGCTTTTGCTCACCTGTGGAAACCGGGACATGAGAAGAGATGGCCCGAAAGACGAGCGACAATCTGTATTTAATTAGGACGAGTCTATGCCATTCCGCCGGATTTGAGCATGGCCTGAACATACGCAAGTTGGTGAATAATTGCCCGACTCAACCTCGTCTTAGCGACTCGGTGTTTTCGTTTTCACCTCGGCCGACCTCAGAACACCAACCGTGGTGCCCTCTAAATTAACACATTTGGGGTAATTCTGTCTGAACCATGCAGAATGGGTTGATCTCGGTCCGGAAAACGGAGATGGAGGCCAAGTTGTGATAAGAAGAAATGCTATGATTGAAGAAAAATCAGCAGATGCACAGAACTTAGGCTCTTAATATTTGTCCATCGTCCCCTCAATAAGGCTGTCATAGTTGCATAAAGTAGATGTCGAAAGTATCCGTAACTCTTGAATAATATCTCCAGCCATCATAGATCACATATAGTTGAATTTTCTCACAATCACATGAGTTAGCATCACTTAGATCTGCTTCTCGAAAGCTATTCTCATCCAGGACGATGTCCTAAGAAGGCGGATAATCTCTTTTCAAATAATATTTATCACAAAATATAGTGCTATTATTGAACATGAGATGTATTCACCCAATTTCGTTTAATGTGTGTGGTTAGCGTGTCAAACTTCCCTCCTGCATTGTCGCGGTTCGACTCCCGCTGAGGGTGTTGATAAGACCGATGCGAGGTCGAAACTGCAGTCCAATCTTGTCTGGAAATTAACAAATTTTGGGAAAGAAAGGCTATGTGAAACGTCAGCTCAACTCACATCATTGTGGAAAAATTCTTCCTTTACCAGTCCCTCATCACCTCTAACGAAATTGGGTGAATACATCTCATACTACTGATTTACTGGTAGTAGCGAAAACGATACTTAATTCGAAAAATATTATTGAATACTTACTCTAGAAAAGGCCTACTCAAATAATTGTAGGAAAATTCGACTGTCGCTTCTTCATTATTTTATGCAACCATAAGTGACTGGAACTCTTATAAGGCTTTTCCTTAAAGTCTTCATTTTTCTCCAATTCAGCTGACCATTTC